TTGCTATATTTTATAAAAATATATATTAATATTAATAAAAGATATTTTTATCGCATCGATTATCAAATTTAAAATCTACATATGTATCACATTATTTTATATTGAAATATTATATATTAAATATTATATATTAAAATATTGTAAAATTATTTTTTAAATGTGTACTTATATAAATGTATACATACTAAATTGTACAAATAAACATTTTATTATACATTGTATTATTATATATATATAGATAAAAAAAAACATATATAATAATATATATTCATAATATATATTCTTTTATTTTCGTAAATTGTAAAAATACTCACAAAAAATATTCCGATAGAGAATATATATCAATTTTTTAGAATTTACCATAAACAATTTAGCCAATTTAAAATATTATATAACTAATGAGTATTCTTTCTTTATCCGAATAATTATAATTTCTAAACACAATTCTAAAACATTTATTGAAGACGAATATTCTAATTAAACTAATTTTCTCATGAGTTTCTCATATAATTTGATTCTTAATTTTATAATTCAATATTAGAAAAAGTATAATTAATTTTAAATAATGTTACTAATTTAATTTTATTAATAATTTTATTTCTATGAATTTATCATTAAAATCATAAAAGAAAGTAGAAAGAAACAATATGCAATCATATAATGAATTCTTCTTGAAAACTTTTCAAATGAAAAAATAATTTTTTTTCATATTTCTATTAAAAGACTATTATTCGAATAACACGAATAAAGCTTAAAATAATTAAATCAGATTAAAATTTTTTTTCTTAAATTAAATAAGAAATATTTTTTAAAATTAAATTATTCTTTTGCCTAAATATAAAAAACTATATTATAACTATAAAGAATCATTTTATATAATTAAAGATCATAAGTGACAAAAAAAAGAATTACATCTATGTTATTATAAAACATTATAATAACGATATAAAAAACATATTAATAAATTATTATTAATAAATTTTAATGAAAACCAAAAAAATTATACTCATTATTCAAAAATAATTTTAAATAAATTAAAATAGAAATTATTTAATAAATCAAATTTATTACTATTATAAGATAATAAATTACTTTATTATATTATTATTAATATATTATATTAGTATTATTATATATATTATTAATATATTATATTAGTATATAAATTACTAAGTTATTATATTTAAAATAAATTGTAATATTAATTGTTAATATATCATCAATTTTAAATATAATAACATGATAAGTAAATTATTTTTTTTTACTTATTTTTTTTTTATGACGAAATAAAATAACGATATATGTACGTACGCACTGATTGTTTCAAATGCAGAATTAAAATTATATATATGTATCTATGAAAATATCAATACATACCGTCATCAATCAAATAAAAAATTGCAATTAATGAACGAAGATTAAATGATGTTAACAAATACTAATCTATATATCTATATATCTTTTATATAATTTCTGAAAAATAAAAATATACATATTAATATTATTATTCTCTAATTAGAAAATTATTTTCTATTATTGAAGTTGTTTAAAAATGATTTGAATTTTTTAGATATTATAAATTTAAAATAAATTAGTTTCTATTTAAAACAAATGCCATTTTTGTAAATATTTTATTTTTGAAATCATATTAATATGTATGGTACATAATAATTTTTTTATATATATATTTTTCTATTTCTCTACTTTTGTTCATAATTATTTTTGTTATTCATTCTAGTTATTGATAGAAATGAAAAAATATTATACTTAATTATTATATTATTATACTTAACCTAAAATGTAATAAGCCGGTTTGCTACATTATATGTATATTCGTAATGCAAATTTGTTACTGCGCATACGCATTTTTGAAATTTGATTTGAAATTTAATATAAATCTCACTAAAATAATTTTACTCAAAATTTATTAATATTTAATTTTAAATATAATTTTATTATCTTTCACCTTCAGAATAATAAATGTAACATATAAATAAGCTATTATGTGCATATATAATCCATTTTTTTTTTTTAATTAAATTATTAATCCATATCTAAAAATGCGAGAATTTATATTTCGTTCATTAAAAATATAATGCGATACATTAATATATAAATGTAATATATCATTATATAAAAATATTAAATGAAAATATATAATATTAAAAAATATTAAAAATGAAAATTAATCTTTTGATCACCTTGAGTGATATCTCAAGTTCTTCTTCTCGCATTCTGATCGTAACGTGATTAGCATAATATCCAACTACAATATCCCACGATGTCTGCCGTTGATCTTTCGTATGGAAATATTATTCTTAATAACGATCACCTTTCACGATACTTCGAATCTATCACATCACACCATAACCGAAACATTTTTAAAAATTTTAAATGAAAAATTTCACATTTTTTTTTATATCTATTCAATATTAATTACATATTTTATTGTGCCAAGGATACAAGATATACACTGAACACGCGAATACGCGCCACTGTACACTGAACACCTGTACAAAACACCTGTCGAGACTTACTTAGTAATTTTCCCTAGTGATATTTCTATTTCATATTAAGAATCAATTGCCAACTATTGAAGCAACGTTGAAAAACTGAAATAAAATTTAAAAAAATTTTACATATTTAATAACTCATATAGTTCAATTATAGTTTTGAAAAATAATATTTATATAAATTACATATTTTTAAAATTATTATTTTATATTTTATAATTTCCAATTTTTTTATCTATTTGATATAATACATGCAGTAAAATATTGTATATGTAAAATGTTTATAATAAATATATCTCCAATATAGATTAGTATTATCAAATAATATACATAATACCAAAAATAATTAATCGAAATAATATATTTAAAATATATTAAAAATAAAAAAATATATTTTAAATATATTAAAGATAAAAAGGTATATTAAAATATGATTAAAATGTAATTTAATCTATAGAAAACATATATATATACATATGTATTATTTATAAGTAAATTATAGATATTCGAAAGAAATAAAGAAAGATAAGGAATAGTAAAAAATTACAAACAAGAGATAAATTGTTTTTATAATATTTTAAATATGCATGTATGTACTATATGTATACATATACATTTATATATATATATACATACATTAAGCACATACAAATGCGCACGCGCATGATATGAATATGTATGTACTATATGTAATTATATAATATTTATACATATATACTATATATATTTATGTATACATACAAAATTATAAACTTATAATATAATATAATAATTATGACATAATACACTTATATATAAACAATTTTATTAACGATAATACTATTTCGTTAACGATGTCGTAGTTCTCTTATGTTTATTTTTAAAAGTATATATTTTATATTATTTCACACAATTAATACTTATATACCAGTTTTTTTAATTGAAAAAATCGTGAAGAAATTATATTGTGCTTACTGTATAAAAATCATGTAAATATTTTGTGCTTTACTGAAATTTATACATATAAAAGATCATTTTTTTCATTACAATCAAATAAAACTGTACAAAATATAAATATATATGTTTATATAAAAATTTATTTTTGTACAAAGTCTGACAACCTACATAAATGATTCTTACTATCATCACACAGTTTTAATACTATTTACTATCAGATTTAATTTTTTGAAATAATACAAAAAAATATTTTTAATTAATTATCAGATGACCACAGAAATAATTAAATTTAAAAATTTTTTTTTTTAATTAACAATATGATGAATTTTGTTATTATACTGTTTTTCTCAAATTACTTTTTTTAATTTTTTAAGTGTGATAATAATAATATAATAGTTGTTTCTTTATATTTATTTGGCAGTATATCTTATATGTCTTTACAAAAAGAATGATATAAATGTATTTAACAGCATAAGTTTTCACAATAGAATAGTGGTCTCTGACTAGACAAATGTTTTTTATTTCTGATTTTTTTGTGTATATCCACTAGAATAAAAAAGAAAATACTATAAATTCAATATGTCCATTTTATAGATAGCTAATATCTTAATGTCTTTTTAAAAAAAAAACTTTTTTATAGGATTTTATAAAATTCATATTATATAAAAGTGATGAAAATTTAAAAAAAAAAAGTAAATATTTATAAATATAGCATCAAATATGTAAACATAAACAAGCTAATATATAACATGCTTAATCTATTTAAAGTTTTTTTTATGAAAACCAAAAAGTTATAAAGGATTTTAATTACAAAATTATAAATTTTATCACTTAATTTAATTTAGAATTTATAATTTTTAGAAGTATTGATATAAAATTAAATTTGTAAATCTAATAAATTAATAATGTCTAATGTATAAATGTATAAAAATGAAAAATTTGAGTTTAAAAATGAGTTTAAAAAGAATTAAACTGCATTAATATGAAAATATAATCAAATGAATAACATATAGCAATAAATACTAATTTGGAATTTTAAGTCTATAACCTATTTTAAAATAAAATTTTTATTTTTATTTTAAATAAAAAATTCAAATATTAATAGTTTACTAATAATATTAATACTCTTGTATACTTTCTTATGTTATCTTACACATGTATCATATTTTTTATGAACAATTAGGAATAATTTTTAGATTAGATACATTGCTTCTAGTTAATATGTGCTTTTTTTTAAAAAACAACGGAGAGTTAACATAATTAGAAAAAAATATAAATTATAATAAATATTGACAAGAAATCTTATATTTATATTATAAAGAAGTCACTTCTAAGTTTCTAACACATTATTTTTAAGATAAATTTTAAACATAAAATGTACTATAATTGCAAGTTTTAATAACAAACAAATTAACAATTATGATAATAATAAAAATGTGTTTATACAAACATATATATATATATATATAAGAGAAGGAATGATGAACTAAAATGGATAACAATCCTTTTTATTGTTAGTAAATACTTCAAGTTTCTAATAAATCATTCCTTAGAAAATTTAAGCGAATTGTCTATACTGTGTTGAAAATTTTTTTAACTGCATTAAATTTGTCAATATTTCTGAAAACTTATTATAAATTTGTAAATAATAAATTTTTAATTATTACAAAATGTTAACTCTCATAGGTATTGTTCAAAAGGTGCTGAATAACAATACATTTATATGTCAAAAATGTCATTTTTTTAAAATGAAATGTAAATTACGCTACTGTTTCTTAAAAACGATTAATTAACATTTCAATATTTGTTTATATATAATCATTATGAATTGACAAAATTTTTCTATAATTTTATGGCAGCCAGAATATATAACAAAAGCAATAATTGTATTGCTAAAAAAATGAATGGTATCATTCATATTTTATAGAAAGAAGACTGTCTTTTAGTATAAAGTATACTCTTAAATATCACAAACATTCGCATTCTGAATATAATTGTTATATAATAATTTGCATCTATCTCGTTGCTCATTCATAAAGAATATCTATTATATCTTGTCAATAAGTATTAATGAAATAACCAAAAATTATAAAATGTTTTAGTATTTTAATATGCAGATGCTTCCTTATACTCAGAACCTTCCATAGTGAAGAAATCTTCCAATTTCCATTGCAATGTTTCAAAAGTTGGCCTCTTCATTGGATCTTTATTCCAACATTCTAACATAATATCGTACAATGCTGTTGGACAACCAGGTGGACATGGCATTCTGTAGCCATGTTCTACTTGATGAAGAACTTCTGCATTTGTCATACCTTTAAAATTGAAATTAAATATTTTTGTTTAAATTTTTACAAATATAAAAAATTTTTATTTGAAAATTTATTTACCAGGATATGGTATTCTTCCATAAGTAACCAATTCAGTAAGAAGAATACCAAATGACCATACATCAGATTTAATACTGAATTTACTATAATTTGCAGCTTCAGGTGCAGTCCATTTAATTGGAAAGCGTGCACCTATTCGGGCTTCATATTCATCTTCTTTAATTAGCCTAGCTAAACCAAAATCTGCTATCTTCACGACATTTAATTCTGCTACCAACACATTACGAGCAGCTAAATCCCTATGAATATAATTTTGTGATTCGAGATAAGCCATACCTGCTGCAATTTGTGCAGCCATATCAATTAATCGTTGCAGATTTAATGTTTTTCCTTTTCCTATTAAAAAAAATTAATATATATATA